TATGAGGTATTGCTAAATCGTACAAGTTACAAGTACATCAGTAGCCGGCCGTAAGAAGAACGCTGGGCTAATAAACGTTGTCGCTTGAGCCACAAAGATAAATAGGTTTAGATTGAGCAAAAGAACTTATATGTGCTGATGACAATCACTACTTGGCCATTGTTTCTAAGCGTTTTTTAGACAGCAAAATTCGATACTACTTAACCGGCGGACGTGTTGCCGACAAGGGCGTATAATACGATTTTAAACGGAGCGCCAATACAACAACAAATCACGAGAGGTGTAAATTATAGCTGGTTAAGTAGACCCCATTAAGAAACGTTAATAAACTTGAAGCCTAAATAACGTTTAACCATCCTGAAAGCATCATTAAACTCTCAAATAAAAAGCACTACCGTCAACAACAACAACAGCAGCAAGGCGTCTTGCGACACATTGTCCAATTGATTTAATCATAACTGGCACAGAATTGAGTGTCTAATGACTAATTCTGAATCAGCACAAAGGAACGCTGCATGCATTAAAAATATTTCAATTTGAAAATATTTAGCTTTCATTGAGGTTGGTATGAGAAGTAATCAACCTTTAGTTACTTACAAGCTTAATCCTTCTAGCCCGAGCTTTTATTCTGTATCCTACAGAATAAAGAATTATACTTGATAAAAGTATACTTCAGAAACCTCCCATAATTATCCTGCTGCAACCCCCTTCGCTCTCCATGGCCAAGAACTAGGCAAATTTTTCACAGTAACATTACGACAGTGGACATAGCGTCCACAATGTACCCAACAGCTGCGCAAATTGCGATTTTCTATTGGTTCATTTTCGGTTAGAGCACAGTCAGTACCTGCATTCTACCAATACCCGAGATTTTCGTTTAGGCTCATGAAGCCGATCGAGCAGCCCAACTCCTTGACGACAGCCATCCGTTCGTGGCGCCAAAATGCGCGGCGCGCGCGCAGAGAAAGAATTTGCCCAAGTCCTAACTAACGGTTTAGCGACGAGGAACAGGGCAATCTCTTCTCTGCGCGCGCGCCGCGCATTTACCAGGTATTTGGACTTACCCTTCCTACTATCTTTCCTACGCTTCCTCGTCACTCTCTCTCTTACGCTTACGATATCTAATCTTCTTCTTTAGGCTAGGCGGAACGCTCTTGCCGTCACCCCACGTCTCGTGCCAAATCTGCGAGCAAGTCAGCGTATTCCCGCTCTCCACGCGCCGCACGTGACGGCAGAGAGGTACGCGCCCTCCAAAGGCAATGCTGCATCGCGGGCAGAAGAAACTGGTTTCAAATGACTTGGTTTTGGAGTCAGCAAAAGCGGAGCACACTTTGCACAGGTACTGCCTGCGTTTGTGCTGCTTGCCGGACGAATAGAAGTCATCGGTGTTCACTAACGCGTGCTGCTGACGTGGAATTGGTACAGCCACCAGGTCCTCCGCGTTGGGGTGGGTCTCGAAGTTGATTGTCTGCAGGGCGAGCAGCGGAATGTGCAAACGACGCAGGTATTCTGCATGGGTAGGTTGTTTTTATCCTTTCTTCTTGAGCGTCACACAGTGAACGATGTATCCATTCACGACAGCCATGTCTACGATACACAGGAATAAGTGCTTGTAGTACTTGCGAAGCGATATACACTTTTGGATGCTGTAGCGCTGGAGTCTCAGCTGGTCGTGGACGTCCACGTCGCCCATGCCACGATTGTAGTCCACAACCAGCTGCGGACACGGCACCGTGCTTCGCGTGCCATCTTTCTCCAAGCGCATAACGCTGGCGGGGTGAGTGCTGCAACCAGCAGCGAGCATGTTCACGGGCTTTGAATCCATCCAACTCAATGCAACTAACTGAGGGTGATCACGTGCTTGTGCGATACGATAGGTTCCTCTTGGCATTCGCTTCGGTCGTTTCGCCTGCGTGAACTGGATCGGACACCAGCCAAGTCGATAAACTCTCGTGGTGCCAACATGGTAGAGACCCATATCCAGCAGCTTCAGACTCAGTGAGACCGCTGAGGAGAAGCTATCCGTTACGATCAGGCGCTTCCTCGGCTGACCCACCAAGGCTTTCGATATGTTTCTAACGACAGCTTTTGGACCATGCCCCAACGGATCACTTGGCGTCTACTTCTTTTTGCCGTCTGCCCCACAATAGATTTCCACTCTAAGTCGGATATATACAGCACATCATGAGAGAGTGTCAGTGTATTCTGTAGCCTCCGTATTCAAGGATGTACAGAATAATATGCAGTACCTCGAACAAGATGCTGTATATGCGCAGCATGTCATATAGAACTTGGTGCCGTACTTGCTGGGCTTGTCGGGCATGAAGATTCGCATCGGATTGAACTTGCTGCGGTTCGGCATCATGCCTTCGTCGAACGAGATGGCCTTACCCAAGCGATGGCCACGGCGGAATGTTTTCTCAACAGCTTGCAGCACAGGACGGATTTTCCAAGCTCTGTCAGCATGCGCTCCACCGTCATCATTGTTGTTGAAGTGCAGAAATTTCATGATCACCTCGAAGCGATCGCGCTTCATGAAGCGAGAGAACATCCCGCGTGGAATGGCTCTATCTTCTTCAGTACTCCAGTGATTGGAGAGCCCGTCTCGAATCGGAGCGACAGCTCGTGCAAAGAGCAATCCCACGACGTGCAAAATCTCATGAGCTTGAATACACTTGAATTTCCTCAACTTGGCTTCGATATCTTCTAAGTTGGGCACACTCACGCGAGGATCCTCAGCTTGGCGAGCAAGCCTCTTTGCTCGACGAGATAATGCCACAGCACCAATATTCTGCTCTCGGTAGCGGTTCGTCTCATCAGCAATTCGAATCCATAGCTCCTTCGGTAAAAAGTAGAAGAATATGGCCAATGGAGAGTCTGCGTATGCGACCGCAGACCGTGTGGGTCCGCACGGTCCGTCGTAATAGTCCGTTGCAGCGTCCATCCGGAGATTCCCTGTAGTAAACACACAATCCGGAATAAGTACAATTGCACCACACACTAATCTGTATCATACGGCTTACCACTTTCCGCTTCGGCATAAGTAATCCATCCATTCTCCGCGATGTCTCGCAAATCACCACTAGTCAGGTCAAAGAGTTCATCCTCGGGGATATCATCATTCAAAGACACGTCTTCTAGATCTTCTACACCTGCTACTTCAAGGACCACTTCGTTGTCGTTCATCACGTCTTCGTTATCCGCGTCTGAATCGGAGTCGCTGGCATCTTGACCAGCCACCACGTTCACATCATCACCATCTGTCGGGCCGAACAATCGCTCTTTTCGGAGACCCTCCATGAAGTTGTCGCTATCAAAGACATCAAAATCTACGCGATAATCCGCAGGGTCGTCACTCTCGCTCTTTGCTTCATCAGCTTCCGTCGATTTCTCTCGCGGGTTCCATTCTGTATCAGAGTCTTCATTTCTCCTTTTTTGTTCTGTATTCTCCGGGACTGTAAACTCCGTATCCCCATGTTCTGTATTATCCAGATCGTGGCCCTTCAAGGCTTCATCTTGTTCTGTACCATCCGTTATAGCTAGTTGAGCTTGAACTTCAGTCGATGGCTGTAGTCCTGCCAATTTCACCTTCGGCGTCAACGGAGCGCTTGCACTGACTTGAGGAGCACTTACTTCTGGAGTTTGGGCGGATTCAGTCGCCGTGGTGGCGCGGAAGTGGTGAGCGGTGGATGGTCATGGGGAGGCTCCTCCCCAACAGCTTCGTACGATGCTTGCTTGCCAATCGGACGATGTGCAGGGCCAACACGCACGCTTGGGAGTGGAAGCTGGAGACGACCGGATGCACGTCCAAACGCCATGAGTTCAGCTTCGCCTAATAAACACACCATTGTAAGTAGTGAGCATTATTAGGTCAGTTAGCATAGCAACGTACCCTCAAAAACGTCAATGCCGCGTCTCGATTCATCAAGACGTCCCTTGATTCCTGGCTTTACGTAGCGGTGATGCTTGGCCATGCGCGTGGGTTTGCGGGGCTTCCATCCGTCCTTGCATAACTCCCGCCACAGCTGCTTGAATGTCTTCTCTCCGGGGCCGTTCATTGATTTTCGAATGGGAGGGACTGATTGCCACGCGGCAGTTTTGGGCTTTCACTCTAATTTTCAAACCTGTTCTGTTTTTTATTGGTCTTTCTACTCACACAGAAGAATCCCCGTCAATCTACCCTTCACCAATCCTACGGGAAGGATCTGCTGATTACCACGTTTACAAATTCTCATATGCGGACTTGGGGGCAGCAGCCAACTTTGCTGGGTACTAAATCCTGTTAAAAGGGTTAACCCTTTAAAGGGGCAGTGCAAGCGTGAAATTAGTGCAAGCTGGACAGGCCATTACTATCTTTTGCGTTGATATGAGCTAAGCTTTATAGCGGCTCAGAAACGGCCCGTGACATCGAGCACGACGCTTAACTAAAACAAATGTGTAGCGTTTGTAAAAGTGTGTATTTATAGTGCAGGTGGTTTTGGGTGGAAGATAAATTTACAGAGATAGCCAGCAAAATTAAAGATATTGTATCAAGACTATTAGAAATTTTATTTTAATCGGGTAGGCTAGATGCTGGGGGCTCAGTCTTTTGTATAAATAATTGCACGGCTTACTAAAGTGCTTAAAATCATTTCGTGCCTGGTAATCTAAATTATACCCAGATTTATGAAAACTCGAATAGGCACATAGCCTTGAAGCGTAGCGGAGGCGGACAGGCATAAACAAATAGAATTAAACCAAACTACCGCCGCGTAGCGACGGCGCTCAGCTAGAGGAGAGATACTTGAAGCTAAAGTCTTGGGATACATGAAATTTACTACTTCAAGTACTATTAGCTCTACCAAAAAAAGAATTTATTAGTAGTATGACTACTTCGAAGTACTTTGTTTTATTAAGTACTTCAAATTAAGTTTTATGTAAATATCCGGTACATACCGGTATCTTTATTGTAAATTGTTCAACGCAGATGGAGATTACACATACGAAGACAGCGGAGGTCCTTTTACTTGAACTGAGCAAGGTCAATTACCGTTGATATCTATTAGGAAAGACGACTGCAGCTCAGCTCTGCTTGGCGTCATTAGCTTGTACCGTATCCCAACAATAAAACGAGAGCGCAACAAGCGTAGTGAATACTGTAGCAATCTTTACGCGCACCGCTTAAGCCAGCAGGTTCTCGCCGTTGTAGTGGAAAAGGCACACGCTGCCAGTGAACATGGCGACGCTAACTAGAACCTGCTGGTGCTTCGTGGCGAAGGCGTTTACACGTTCGTAGGAGCTCTGGTACCACGACTTGCGCTGCACAGGCACAGAACCCGCGCCAAAGCGACCGCCAAGGAGGTTCGACTTGGGCTTGGAAATGCTGGAAGCGTTCATCTGACGCTGACTGGCATTCAGACGCTCGTACTTGGTACGCAAACTGGCAGCCTCGCGCTCCAGAATCTGCAGCGCTGACTCGGCGTCCTGCTTCTTCTTGGACAGAGCTACCACCGAAATGCTAAGCTTCTCGGCTTCAGAGAGCGCAAAGCTAGCCTTCACGTGAAAGCGACTGCCCGTCTGCTTAGGCTCTTCGACCTCGTCCACCTCCTTCTCAACCTCCTGGACCTTCTCATCTTCCTCGATCTTCTCATCCTCATCGACCTTCTCATCCTCCTCCATCTTTTCAGCCTCCTCGTTCTCCTCAGTCTTTTCAGCCTCCTCAGCCTTTTCAGTCTCTTCAATCTTCTCATTCTCCTCAGTCTTTTCAGCCTGTTCAGTCTCCTCGACCTTTTCGTTCTCCTCAGTCTTTTCATCCTCCTCGGCGTCTTCCATCTTCTCCGCAGTCTTCTCAGACTCCTCGTTCTTCTCAGTCTCTTCAGTCTCCTCCGTCACGTCGGTCTCTTCAGCCTTCTCAGCGGCAATCTCCTCTTCAATGGCTTCCTTCACAGCTTCCTCCACCAGCTCCGTGATAGTCGTGGGTTCCTCCTCCTCTTCCTCGTCGGCGGTAGTGTACCACTTGTCCAACACGTTGTCCTGGAACAGCGATGAGATGGGGAGCTCCACTTCCTTCACTGGTTCAGGCTCTTCGTCGTCTTCCGACGCAGCCGGAGCGACTGTGATGATCACGACCGCCTCGCGCGACTGCACGGGGTCGAACACGAAGGTGGCGGGGAACGTCAGCGCCGTCGACTCCTCTTCCTCCTCCGAGTTAGCAACAGCATTCCAAGCCACTGTGCGCACCACCGGATCCTTTTCCTTCTTCACGCGCTTCTTGATAATGGTGCGCGTGATTTTGGTGGTCGTCTTGAGCTTGCGCGGCGTGCTTTCGCCATCTTCCTCGGGCACCTGGCCGTCCTCCACGACGCGGCCGTGCTCATCAGTAACCACGACGTCCTTCTTCTCTACGACTTCCTCAATGGTCTCATATTCGTCGTCGTCGTACTCCGGGTCCAGAGAAACGGTGATGGTGGCGTTGGGCACGGGTTCCTCGCCCTCTACTCCAAGCAGCGAAACTTCCAGGCGGCCCACACTCTTAGCAGCAGACTTAGCCTCCTCGAAGATCTCCTCCTCGCCTTCAGGGGCCTCGGAAAGAGCCGTGATCTGCTGAAACACAGCGGCGATCTGCTCGTCCAGCAGCTTCACCTCGTCCACCTTGGCCGTGACGTTGCGACGGCACTCGAGGTATTGCTGCGACGCGCGCTGAACCATGGCGGCCACTGCAGCCGATGAAGACGTGGAAGACGTGGAAGCCATCGTGGGTGGGGTTAGATACACACAGAGAGGACGCCGCGATGTATGCGGCTGCGAAGCTTGCTGGGGGTGTAATGCGTGGCGGAAAGCTACCCAGAAACGTGGTGTGCGCTACATTAAACCGTACTTTGAAGTGATGGTACGGCACGCCATTTAAACATCAAGTTGGATTTCAGACACGTCCAAAGCTTGTCAAGGAGTCACTTTGCCATCCAACGTCTGGGTGTATCGCAAAAATCCACTTGAGAGCTCCCATGTACATGAAATCGAAAATGGGGTCATCATCATGGTCGTGAACATTCACGAAGTACGGTGGGATCCTGTTGAAGAGTCCAGGTTTCGACGTTGCGATCAAGAAGCTATCTGACCGGTCGGGAACGGAGACTTTGCCCTTTGTCTTTGTGTTGGGCGACTTTGGTGTTTATTATTTAGCGTGTCTTTTTCGCGGTAAAGGATTGTTGCATCTTAGGAAACATGAGACCGTCGGCGGACTCAGCGTTCGCTCTCATGGAGCGTCCATGGCGTGCTAACTTCAACTGCCCTCCAACTGGCCGTATGACGGAGGGCGCGATGAGCAGAACAAAGTGCAGCGAACACAAGCGTCGACTCTTTTCATGGTCTTCAACATCACGCACAATAGTAGTATTAAATTAATAAATGCCGCGGCATTCTCCATGCACTCATATCGGCTGTCTACGGTAGTTAGCTGACAAGAAGGAAGACAAGCAGTCCGATTCCGCCATCTCCATCTTGTTCCATCCAAAATGGGCAAACCTCGCCTTTTCCTCTTGCTTTCTCACGAGCACACAATTATCGCGACAGCATGAACGAACCCTGTGTCGATACGGATGAGGCATGGAGCCAGCCACTGAGCTGCTCCAGAGCCTGTGCCTCCTCATCCTCCTGGATACTCGGGGTGTAGCCGCTGTCGATGAAGCGTCCAGTGTTGGTGAGGTTGGACTGCGGATTAAGCGAGCCAAAGTTCGTCTCGAGACTCACGCGGTCAGAGTATTGGGACACACGCGTGGACGAGATGGAGCTCGAGCCCATAATGAATGAGTCGTTGGTGCTGCAGCTGCTTCGCATGCTTGCGCTCCTGTTTGACAGCATGGCGGGAGGTGGTGGGACGGGGGCACCACAACGGCCGTAGAACTGGAAGGAGACACCAGGCTCCTCCTTGTGTTGTGGGAGGGTGTTGGTCATCTTAATACTCTTGTTGCTCTGGGCACGAGACCGCCTGCGGTCGCGCGGCACGATCTGCTTCTGCTGCTGACGGTGTGGCAGCGAGACGGGGATGTTCTCCTCCGAATAGAGAATGTATTCTCCCGTCGCAACGTCCTTAATTGGTGGCTGCATGCTCTTGTCTCCGTTGTGTCTTGCCTTGGACATCATACGTCCAGAGTACTTGCGGACAAGGGCAGCAGAAGGAGCGTCGTCTGCGCCCGAGACCTTGGAATTTCTGTGGCTGACACCTCGTTGTTTCTTGTTCTGGCTGGGATGGCCGTGAGCGCGGAGCTGGTTCTCCGTCTTCTGGTCCAGGCGAGGCGTTAAGAGCTCGCCGTTGCCTTCAGGCGGCGCAGTCTGGTTGTAATAATCAGTCGGGTTCACATCACTATCGACGGAGGATCTGGCACCGCGCATGACAACGGTGGACCCACTGAGGCTGCTGGCTGGACCCGTGCCAGTCGTACTGCTTGCGAACATGGTGCTGTTCGACGTCATCATGGTGTCGCTTACGTGGCTGAAGTTGCGCGCGCCGAACTTATTCTTCCGCTCCTCGAGGAAGAAAATGTGCTCGAGCGCCAGTGATGGCCGACGGCACAGACACTTGGAGCCGCGCACGCCGCAGGTCCTACATCTGCGCAGCCAGTTGAATTTAAGGAGGCTGAGCCATGCGATGATCCCCATGGACCGAAGGCTCCGCTCTTGTTGTCCACTGCGGGCGAGAAAGCGGCAATGAACCACGTGCGCGAGCTCTCAGTGGACGGTGGACCGATCCTGATTCGCTCACCTTCTACCGTACTCCTTCCTGCGTGGTAAGCTGCGCCTCTGCTGGGCCTCAACTTACTCTTCTCGGATGGGGCCGCCGCTGTTGACCTTGACCGAGGGAATCGCAGACTGAGAGGAGAAGCCAGCCAGTCAGTCCATAGAGACGGCGAGTCAGTGACTCGTTCGATCGACAAAAAGCGCCCATCTATGAAAAAAAAAGCAAACAAAGACCGGGCAAACGGGCGGTCACGGACATCGGTGCAAAAGACGTTGGAATCCCAACGTTGTTATTCTAATTTACACGTAAAGAAAGCTATTGCACAAAAGCACTCAGTTCGTGCTGAAAGGTTTTTATAAGCTATATTAGCAGGTCGATACATGAGGCCTTAGTGACGGCGTTTAAGCCGCATTCATTGCATTTAGACTCATGATGAATGCACTGAACATGTACACCAGCGCACGTGCTTCCCGCGAATACATTTGCGAGATCGGGAAAACAGCTTGGACAGCGATGAGGGCTTACAAAACCCAAGTCAAACCGCGTGAAGAGGCTCAAATTGAAGCTGCCATTTGCTCGTTGCGATGACGAGCTCCACAGCGACTGCGATTTCTCCACAGCTGCGCTGCTGCAGTCGTGACTGCCAGACGGATGGAACAAGCAGTACACACGTCCTACCTTCGAAAAGCTGTGGTCAACATTCTCTTCGCGGCAATGGGAAATCCTGCCAGGAATCCGGAACCCGAGATCGAGGTCTTCGATCAAGAGTGCGCTGTGCCTAAGGACAACGTATCCAAGTGCAGCGATGCTGTACAGAGGCAACACTAAAGGCGATCGTTGTCCTGCAATGCCGAGGAGCTATTAATAATACTGTACATGTACTGTACATGTAATATTAAAACATGTTTGGTGCTTTCCCTTAGCTCGAGCAAAATCGTTGTCCAAGTTGAAGCGTTCCCGCAGAAGTGACGTATTAATAGACTCGTCCCGACACTAGCACAGCAGCCATCCGCACCGCGCGTTCGATAGGCAGCGTTCGTGCCTGCCCAGCAAAATGAGCGATTCGCTGTGGGCCGCCGACTGGGCGAGCCAGAGCGGACCAAAGAAGAGATCGCGCGGACGCGGCTCCGAATCTCCCATACATTTCCCCTTCGTCGTCGGACGAATCGTCCCCCCCCCTTGGTTATGCCGACGCCCAGGTCGCACGGGAAAGCTTGGGTTCCGCTGTCACAGCGGAAATAAAGCGGCGCTGTGACGGAAGAGCTCAGATTGGATGGCCTCGTCAATTTGATGATGAGCTCCGGTACAGCTTCTGGTGGATACAATTGCCAATTGGTGCCCACGTGGCACTTTTAAAGTAGCGTCATTACCATACTCCTGTACAAGTTCATCCATGTTGCACCCCTCATAATTGATCGGACACACTGGCGAAAAACCCATGCAGTGTAATCTGGAAACAACCCCGTCGTGGTAGACACCTCGTCAACGACAGGAACTCTTACCTAAAATTTATGACGATTAGTTTGTGGCTGACGCACATGAACGTATTGCATCCGCGAACGCGTTTGTGAGCAACATGTTGCAGTGGTTGGCCCTTTCCGTGTGAAGTCACAATTCAACGGCGGTGATTTACCGTGCGATTGTCTTTCACTCGTGACGAACTCAAAACGATCTTGGCCACACCATTGCCAGGTTACCTACGCCCAGTAGCTGCCCGCACAAATTTCGGTGCATTATGCAACGTACAAAGTTTTAATCGAAATCTTCCTTCCCACGTCACACCTATGGACACGGAGAAACCAAACGACCGACAAAAGATTGCGGCGAGGATTCATCGCCGGACAACAATCGTTCGGCTCGTAGTTTCCATATTGTAGCGGCTTTCCATCTTCGTCACTGCTGCAATTTCCATGCGTCGCTTGGAAAATTCAAGCTCTTGAAGACGCTTCTGACGCTCTTGTTGGTCACTTTCGGGTCCTCTTGCGAGATTCTCGTCCAACTTGACGGCATTCAGACGCTCCGCACCGGCCAATGCCTCCATGTAGGTTCGCAATACGATTTGGGAGTTCTTCCCTCCAGTCGTAGGTTCCAACAAGTCGTAGGAGGAGTGGGTTATTTCCCACTCATCCTTGAGCACTGCGAGTAATCTCTTGGTACTGGAAGGGAAGCAGAATCCAGAAATTTCGATCCGAAAGAGTGTGGCAGATCTCGAAGACTGGTCTCCAACTTCTGACTCGGTCACTGCAGCTCCGACTCGACCAAACGATGTGACCTGCAAGCTTTTGATGGAAGCGTTCGCAAATGGATAGAGCGCATAGAGCACTGGCACGTCTTGATTCGACATGGCTGACAATGAAAGTGAAAAGTTAGCTACTGGATATCTCAACCCACATCGGGTGAAGAGGGGCACTTACGTGCACGGTTGATGAGGAACTCGTACAGTCCGTGAACAGCGATGTGGCCGTGGAAAAGCAGCAGTGAATCGACACCATGCATATTATCTGGAGCGGTTGAAGTGCGCGTCAGGATTGTGTCGCTGTCTTGTCTTTTGCGGCTGGCCTCGAGTTCTTCTTCTAGCAAGTGGAACTCGCCGACTTCACGCTGCGTCTGGTTTGCTTTGACGTATGGCATGGTGTATTCCACATTGAGATGGTGCAACACCTTGCGCGTTCTTGCACTTGACTGCGACATCACAGCTCGAAGACGACGATTCTGCGTATTCTTGGTTACTTTAGCCGGGGTTTCAGCTGCATTTGTTTCTTCGTCGTGCTGTCGGCACAGGCTGATGATTGAGGATTCATTTGCTATTGCATCTTGACTGTCGGTATCATACAGGAAGTAAACGACAAATTTACTTGAACGAAGATAAAATGAGCCATCCTGTGTGTCGCCAGTAGTTCTGCAAGCCCGACGACGGAAGTTCATGTAGACGTCGCGAAATGATTCCTGCCACGTATTCCATCGCGCTGTGAGATATGCCTTTTCTTCTCGTTTGTGTTCACCTTTGGGGCCTCCTAATAACGGCTCACCTGTGCTTGATGTAGTCGCTCGGTTGAGCAGAACAGAAGTCGGTACTACGTCTGCAGGGTGTACGAAATATTGCAACGCCTGCTGCCATCGCACTGCTGTGCTTTGGGTAGCAGACTGCTGCGCACTTCCACCACCAGACATGAATTGTTGCAGTGCTTGCTGCTGGATTTTTGAGCTGGCAGCATGAGATCATTGTCAGAACATTTCATGGTGGTGTTGTTAAACAAAGAAAGCACCTACTTTACGCGCTGAAAAGGATACGGAAAGGCGGTAAGGATGGACAGTTTAGTTTTGGGCACAGTGTCCAGCGGCAACTCGGCAACCTGATTGCCAAATGTGAGCAACACGCTTCATTCACATAAATCATTCTCTGGTCACTTACCTGGAAGATGTTCGGGACGTTTGCACCTGGAACAAGCCGTCGGTTCAGAGCTCTTTGAGTCAGCAGTGACGAGTTATAAAGCGAATGCAATCGTGCTGAAGCAGTAGCAGGTGGCTCCTGCGCACGAGGCGATTGTTTGGATGTCGATTTCGATGGGGAAGCCTTCTTTGCTGCTTCTAACTGCGCAATCTCAACTGAAATGGCCTCATGAGACGCTTGGATCGGTTCTGGTCCCTCGTTAATATCCTTGATTACCTTCGTTTTGCCAGGAGATCTAGAGAAACAACACGCCGTAAGAGATTTCACACCCTGGCAACATGCTTTTTGTTACTATAGTACCGGGCAGGTGCTGACGATGTCTGAGGTGAAGAAGCTGCACCCGTCACCCGCGCCTTCTTTTCAGCCGACACCTGTAGCTTCGCGGCTCGACGGCGTTTCTACGAGCACCAATCGAGTGTCCGTCAAATAGTCGATCTTCCAGCAGCGATGCCAATCATATCGCACTGTCACGGTCACGTACCCGCAGCTCCATTGGCAAGAGCCTCTTCGCCTTGCTCACATTGCGCTTACCGGGACTAGGTGTTCCATTGGTCGTGGGCTCCTTGTTAGGCTCCCGCGCAGCCTCACTTTCATTCATCCCAGCGGAAGACAATAATGGAGCTCTTCGCGCACCAATGTACAGTAATCGATTCTGACAGGATTTTAAGAAATGCTATGATGTTTGGAAGGTAAAAACAGTGAGGTTAGCCATTCATCAAAATCAAGCTCGATCACGACCAGCAATAATGGTGACTGCAGGCCACGCCGTGATCCTATTTTACAAGTATGTGGAGGTAGAGGCTCCACTGGAGCTCAAGCAGGAACAACAGCAGCTTTGTGAGCGTTTGGGACTTGTAGGTCGCATCCTTATCAGCGAAGAAGGCATCAACGCCACGCTGTCGAGTCCATCGCATGCCAAAATCGATGAGTACATCGCGTTCTTATGTGCGCACAAGGTCTTCGCCATGCGTCCAGAGGACTTCAAGCACAGCTCTCACGCACATGAGGAGCCTCCGTTTGTCGGTCTCATTATCAAACACGTAAAGGAGATCGTGTCCACGGGCGGCATCGTCGCTCGCCCGGACATGACAGCTTCCGACGAGGACCGAGGATACCTGACCCCTCAACAATTTCATGAGGCGATGCGTCAGGCGGTGAAGGACAAGGAAGGCACGGTGGTGCTTGACGTACGGGCACACAAAGAATTTCTAGTTGGTATGTAGCTACCATGCATCACACTTTCTTTCGATAGCGCTTATCGTCGTATTCGTGTCCAGGTCACTTCGAGAACGCGGTGGACCCAAAGGTCAAGAACTTCTCCGAGTACTACGCCTTCTTGCAAAACCGTGTAGACGAGATGAAGGACAAGAAGGTGTTGATGTACTGCACAGGTGGCATTCGCTGCGAAAAGGCATCCAACTTTCTGCGCAGTCAAGGCGTAAACGATGTGCACCACCTCAAGGGTGGCATTCACAAGTACCTTGAAACGTATCAGGACGGAGGCTTCTTCCGTGGCAAGAACTTCGTTTTCGATAAGCGGTACGTAGTTGCCTTCTTAACTAAAATTTATTGTAGATTCTAACGTTTTAAAACTGCGTTGTAGTGTCCTGATGGGGGCGCAGAACAGCAATGAAATCGTCGGCAAATGCATCGAGTGCCAGTCGCCGTTTGACGAATTCAGTGGACGCAAAGTGTGCACGGTATGCCGCGACCTGGTGCTGGTGTGTGATAGCTGCTACTACGCTCGCCATGGCGAGGTACACTGCACGGACCACCAGTACCTCAAACACTGCTACGTCACCTTCTTGCAGTACGTACCGCGCGGTGAGCTATTAGAGCAGCAGAAGTCGCTGGAGAAGATCCTCGCAGAGTTTCTGGAAGATAAGTCGAGCAGGAAGAACAAACGCCGCTCCATTCGCAACCAGCTCAACAAAATCGCCGCTCGTCTGGAAGCTATCGACGCCGAACCGGAGGCTGCAGCGGCCACATTGGCGCTGAACCCACGCCCCATCCACTGCCGCACTTGCGGTCTGGCTACGTGCATGGGCAACTGCTGGGGCTTCTGGAGCGACGAAATGCTGCCTCCTCCTCAGAACTGACGTTAGTTATCAGATAAAATGTAGCCATTTCTTTGTTAGCTGCAACCTTTGACTTCAATCTTCAACTTCAGTGCGGAATCGAAAAATGCCTGGTAAGACGAGCGCGCCACGGCGGAAGCGCGGGGCTCCTGTATCCTCTGGGGCAAAGAAGAAGCAGACGGTGGCAGCTAAGAAGAAGCAGACGGTGGCAGCTAAGAAGAAACACGTGCGGGAGATGTCCAAAGCGGGGCGATGGACTGAGGTGTGGGGCCGACAGAGCCAACAATGAACGACCTAAACTTAGTCTTTGTGTGTAGATTGAAAAACTGTATGGGAAGAAGATCCTGGCAAAGGCGAAAACCTGTATGTAGTCCGCTTAATAGTGAGGGTTTAGCTAACTGTTTAGATGGCGCAGATGCGGAGAAGAACCACACGAAGAAAACTCCGCACGAGATTTCTTGCGAGATTTTAATGAAGAATGGACTGCTATCACGATCATCAGTAGTGGCAGCGATTACAACGACTACGATAGGGGGTCAACGGGAAATGCCCGCGACTCGAGTGAACGTGCCACGGAGTAATGCTTCAATCCATTCTAGCTCACCCAAGCCACTGACGAAGGAACAGCGAGAGCGTATCGAAAAGAAACGACAAGAAGCTTTTGAAAGACGTAGACTCCCCTCCTCTCCACCGGGAACACTTACGAAGGAACAGCAAGAGCGTATTGAGCAGAGAAGACGAGAAGCTCTCGAAAAGCGACGTCGTGCTCAGAACTCTGAAGTATGCCATGTTCAACCCCCGGTTGTCATTCAACCCAATCTAGCAGATACTTCGCGACAGAGCTTCCAGCCTTCAGCAGCCCCACTCCAAAATCATCAACCGCCTCAAGTCTCACGGATGCAGGCAAGGTCAGCGATATCATTTCATCGCGTCGTTACCCCTGATAATCTGCCAGCAGCCAACCCCACAGTCGAAACTGAGCAAACACGACCAGATTACTTTTGGGACGACTTGGAGGCGGCTGCGGAAATTGTTCAGTGGGAACATGAGCACATGGCTGAGGCGGCACTCGTGCAACCTCCGGCAAAAACTCCCAGACGCGAAAATGACGCGGTTCGACTTGCTCAGCAAATTCGGCAAGCAGCTCCTAAGACTCGGACGCCTCCGACTTCATCGATATCACAGGAATTGGTAGCTGCAGCAGAGATCATTCAATGGGAGAAGGAGCACGAAGTTTTTCCTGATGTACCAGGTACGAAATCACTTCTACTTTATCCTGTTATGTCGAGCAAAACGTTACGGAGCTTCTCTCGATAACAGCTTTTAGCCGACGGGATGACAGCCCCGGTAGCAATCCTGAGTTCGAAGCTCCACAATTTCAATTGCTGCCTGTGCAAGTCACTGATGATGTCGAGCACGAGAGAAACACCGAAGCGGTACATCTTCAAGGAAATCGTGCAATATCTGCACAAAACCTAACAAGCAACAATCCTCAATCGATGTCCAAATCACACCGCAAGCGCCCACTGGCGGCATCATCGCCACCAGGTCAGCTTTATTGCTTTTCGTGCTTATCCCTAATAGTTCTACAACACTAACAACTTATCCTATCTTACCTACTGCTAACCTACTCTACCTAATTGCTTTCGTCAGCTCTGACACCTAGCAGTACCGTGTCCTGCAAAGCATCAGCTCCCCGTAGGAAAACTGATAGCCTCTCTACATCGACGCAGCCATCTGAAAACCAGCGTGATTCAGCAGCGGAATTCATGTACGTCACTTCTGCTAGAGCAATATTAGTGCATGACCGTGACGCACTCATCATCTTCTGCAGTGACAAACATTTCGTGGAAGACAAGCTCGAACTTCCAGTTCTCGATTTTCTCGAAATGATGCTCGGTTAAGTGCATTCTCCAACGAAACTGCCACTCCCGACCACGACAGGTAGCAGCCATGTGCCTGCTCGCTTCAGCTCGAACCAAGTATCCTGGACAGTCAATATCCGCTGCAACGGAAATCCCTCATTCGTACTTTCGGCAGACAGGGTCCGCATAGACCAAGTGGTTTGTCCACATGACCAAGTCATTTTCCTCCGACGAAAAGGGAAGCACTAACCCGATGCTGTTAAAGTTCTTGGCGCTGTCGTACTCCACATTCAAATACTTCTCCGTCTGCTCCAGCAGAACAAACCACAGGGATCGGGTGGGTGCAGTTGCCTCCTCTTGTTTCCGCTGTCGTTCGTTGTTGTACAGGAAATTGCCATACAATCCAGAGAAAACACTTTCATAAAGTGCCAACAAAAGCGCTTCGTTGAACTCAAACGCCCAGGGTTGTTGCCGCCATATCTGCCATAATGCGTCCAGCCACTGAATGAACACTGGAGACTGTTCCTCGAGCTCTTGTTGGCCCGGGCCTTCACCATGTCCATAGCGGTACCGAAAGAGGTGTCCAAACGAGCACCATTCCTTCTCAATCAGACATAGCAATCCCCGCACTGTTCGGTAGTACGGATCCAGCAAGAGCTGCACCATGGCGGTAAGCTGTGGCGTTCGGTCCCATCCATCACTACAGTGAATCATCACAGAGTTTCCCTGACTAAGATAGCGACAGATTTCCTGCGACGTCGAGAGGATATTCGACAAATGCAGAAACCAGAAAGTGTTTCGCAGTTGAAATAACCAGCCGCTGCTCTCCCGTTCCTGGCCAAGCTGGCACACTGCAGCCAGCGATGCGTATGATGAACGCACGGCATGGATATTGGCGATATCGCAGAAATGAAGCTCTGAGTTGGGGTAATTTCTCGGGTCCTCTGTGCCTTTACCTTGTGCCGAGTTGGCCGCCGCGGCCATTTGACTTCGCGCATCGAAAAAGTGAAATCTCGCATCGCCATACGCGCTCGTGGCGTGTTGAAGCGCAGACACCATTTTCTGGTCGGCTTCCACGACGTATCCACTTAATCCTGTGCAAGGTTGGGCACAGCGACACACGAGCGCCCCAGTGTGCGGATGACGCCATACAACCGCAGGAATGCGGCTTGCACTGCGATAAGCGCTCAGCTCGCGAAGATCATCTTCATCCAGCACCGACGGGATCACGAACGTATCCGGGTATGACGGGAACATGGTGTAGTCTGAGTTGTCATACAACCGCATCCAGCTATCTTCGTCCAGCAGCTTCAGTCGGCGATAGTCTTCCTCGGCATCGTAAAAAGAGTCACTCGGGGTTTCAAGTCCAGTTCCATCCGGCGTCTTCAATTCGTCTTTATGTCGTAGTGCTTGATAATGCAAGTGTGCGAATAGATAGTGAGGAGGCGAGCCACCCGTTGAGTAGAGCTCCCACACGCAGCCCAAGAAATCCGAGCACGTAGTCTCATTCTGGAATGCCAACGAGGCACGCAGAAGATGTTTGCCTTCAATATTGGCGACATGCGGCGCTGTCGTCGAGCTTTCAGCCGACAATATCGATGCCAGTGGGATCTCCATGGCGTCTTTCGTGCTTAACGCTTGCCAAATGATGCGATAGTTCGTGAGCACCAGCGTACCGTCAATGCTGAAATGTGGCGCAGTCCCTAACACCATCTCACCGACCAGATGAGTCACTTGCCCAACACCTCGGAACGCGCCTTTCACGGTATGTGTCCCCAGACCTAACATCCCCATTCCCAGTCCTTTGGCAAAGCCAAATACGCCACCGTTAGCTCCACCTTGATACGTTTTGTTCACGAGACCAGCTGCACCTTTTAAAAAGGCACTGCCAACACTCGTGGACGCACGAAAGAGACCCCTACCCAAAGATCTCGTGGGGTGATTATAGTCCCGAGTAAAGCAGTTGTCGGTTTGCACCTTGTGGCCAGCTGCACCTAGTGAGGCATACGATCGTGGCGGGGCTACTCTGCCAGAGCCTTCCTCACCCCACTCGCTAGTATCAACGTCATCCTCAGACGATGAAGACATCGCTAGTATTTCATTCTTTGTGTTCTGCTCTTCGCCACTATCGTCGCTCTTGTAGAAGATAATATAAGCGGCATTGTCAACTCGTAGCCGCACAACCTCACCAGAAACCGGATAAATGTCTCCAATTAATGGATGCGACTCATCTGCCGGCTGCGTTAGTTGGAAAGTTGGCGTGATTCGACCTCCACTGTAGCCATAATTATCGAGACGCAGCATCGTGGGCGAGTTCGCACTCCGTGCACTTCTCGCAGGACTGTTTGTGTAAACTCCAGGAATCTTGTCAATCGCGTCGTAGCTGCCGTATCCACAGTTGCTCACGCTAGCATGAGTGAATCGAAAAGCCTCGTTCTCATAAATAGGATAAAACGTGGTAGGTGTGCCGGAATTACTGCTGCTCTCCACGCTCCCTGGGCCTCCGCCATTTGGTATCGTGATCGCATCGGAAAACGAGAAATCTTCGTAATCTCCAAGGTCTGAAAAGCTACTCGATGTCTTTCGAGTAACACTTGGCGGTCCAGTACTAATTGCAGCATTAGTGTCTGTCTCAAAGTCCAGCGCGATCGCCAATTTAAACCGATCTTGGTCTGTTTCGTCTGCTGTACCAGTTTCTCCTAGGCCCTTGCACTCTTCATCGTCTGTAGCTTCAGCATCAGCGTCACTTTTGTCCTCTGCAGCGTTCATGGATCGTATCACGTGCTCCTTCCCTTTATCTGGATCACTGCGACTCTCTTCCTGGTCTGAATCTGTTTCTGTTTCTGTGGCTGTAGCCGACGTAGGTGCAGCACCGTTCTGCTCTCCGCTATCTCCAGTAGCTCCGTTCTTTAACTGATGTCTTGTTGCGTAGAACTCGGACCCAGAGTCGTTGCTACTGGACGATGTGGGTGACATGACTTCCACTGGCCTCGCGTACAGTACACTGGTGTACTCTGCGTCGTCCTGGTGTTGTGCACTGAGGGTGCTGAGTCTCTCGTCCGCTTCGTCTCGACAGCCGTCGCTTGACACGTTCACGTAGAAGTCGCTGTCTCGCTCAGCAGCCATAATTGTCTATTCCCCAAACTCTGTAAAATGATATCGTACAGCTATTTCCCACCAGCAAAATTAAGACACAAAAGTGTTTAGGCTCTCTAATCTGATAATTTTAATTGTTCTCCAACACGTACGCGACGCTCCAGCAGCTCGACAACTGTTCACCTTGTGTAGCAGAGTTAGAGGACGTGTAGCCGTGGTCGGGTGAAGGCTTGGTGCGGCGTCAGGAAGGGCTCACGCAGTGTCCTACGCGGCGGAATCAGCAACTCGTTCCTTCTGAACGAACTATTGGTGGAAAAGAGATGGGTGGCATCCCTAAAGAGTGATGGTCACTGCAGTTTCAAAGTCGAAAACAGAGGGTGACGTCGAGGGGTTGGTAGAATCAGATCTGAGAAGTGTTTGTTGAAGTTGTCACTTTCGACAGCCTTTACTCAATCGCAGGTGCCGCTGGCAGTACCGCCGGCAGTGCCGGAGCTTTAGTTAAGATTTCTTGCTGCATCTCGTACGGTGTGAGCACCAAACGACTGCAGCGCAGCGTGTGCTTCTGCTCCCACTCGCCGTCGGGGGTCCGGGATAACGAAGTAGTAGGCTACAAGGCGCTTCGGGTCCAGGTACCAGCCTGATCGGCCCTGAATTGTGCACGGCATCGCTCCTAGCACGCCACAACTCAGTGCGTCTTCGTAAAGGGCGAGGCGGAAAGAGATGCGGGCGCGATAACCGCGAAACACAGACTGGATTCGGAGCACGGACTTGGTTGTGCGATCCTAACAAGCAGGTAAAAATACGTCAGTAGTGTTCCTCGCAAGCATGCTCTTCGTTCGTACAGCTGAAGAGCGTGGTCGTAGCGAGACGGTGCGTGGGCTGGCTATACTAATCTTCTCCTTCTTTTCCGATGCAATCGCAGCATCCACCATGTCGACCAGATCGAAGAGTGTCTCGGCCACATCGGTCTCAAGCTCATCGTCTTCGTCATCAGCCTGTTCAATAAAATCGTCGCCGTAGTCCTCTTCTGCACTGTCGAGATTAGTTGAATCGAGCACGTCTTTGATATTTATGACAGGTTCTTCATCTTTGTTCGCCCGTGATTTGTCTTCTTCTTCTTCGGCAAAACCGTGATCCTCTTCAGCACTATTATCAGCTGAATCGTGGGCGTCTTTCATGTCTATGGCCAATACTTCTCCAAAACGCCCTCCGGAACTATCTTCTTCTTCAGCAAGGCTTTGATCTTCTGCTGTAGTGTTGGTTTCAGCTAAATCGCGTACGTCGTTCTTGTCGATGTATGCGTCTTCTTCCTTTGCATGGGAGTCCTCGTTTTCGTCCACAACGACTTGATCATCGTGAGCAGATTCGCTTCCTTTGCCTGTATCTTTATCAACTTGTTGGGCCATAGCTTCTTTCCGTTCTCGAAAGATTTTGTCATCTCTCGCGAAACTCTCAAGGAACGATTGGCGTGTTGATTGCTGGGCTTGGACAGACTGAGGACGACGCGGTGTTGAGACTGATCCATCCGTAGTTGCAACCAAAGTGGTATCCACTTGATCAAGCTCCGGTCGTGGAGAAGTCTTCGTAGCTGTATGATCCAGTGTAACATCTCCCAGTAAGCGTGGTGTTGTTTGCGTGGCAAACTCAGCGAGAACCTTCTCCTCCAGTAGTTGAGCATCGCTTCTGATTGACTCTGCGAATTGCTGAGCTTTAGAGAAGCTGAGTGCTCCTTCAAAATCAACAAATGACTCTTCCTGCGGTTCTCCAATGTCCTCACCAGTACTCAATAGCGAAACCTTTTCATCCGGTTTGTCGGGCAAAGATGAAAGCTGCGCAGTAGCTTTTGCTGACCTGGTTTGATGTCGATGCAGCGATGTATATGGCGACTGTGCCCTTTGACTCGAAGAAGCTGCTGTTTCGCTGGACGTTTGCACTCGGACACTAGGAGATCTCACACTGCTTTCTGTCGCTGAGAGTGACGGAGGGCGTTTTGTTCGAGTAGATAATCCATTCGTCACTGCTGTAGTCTCTCTTGGAGCATGTCTAGGCGGAGATGAAAGTTTTATCGATGCTGCATCTTGTTCTCTTGCATTTAACCTTTTGCCGGGAGATCCGTTGCACCCTGGAAGCTTAAAACATTTGTGCGCGTGTGGCTTCGTTTTGGGTACACCACCCGTGATGTCCGCTTTCCGAAACACACGATCTGGTGTGGCCACTCTAGCTCTGATACCTGTGAGCTCTGCGTTCAGATGTTGTCGAGGCGTGGTGTCACCAGCTTGTTCTTTCTCGACAACAATAATTTTGTTTTGTGTTGCTGTTCGGGATATTTTCCGAGCATTAGTGTTTGGATCAAGACTTTCTCTCGTTCACGCTGTGTGTGAAATCACTTTGCTAATCGTTCTTCGCGTTTATTCTCCGCCATTATGCATTGTTCAATCACTTTCAAGTGTTTGAGTGAAGCTGTAGATGCCGAAGCGTTCTTCTTGGGTTGTGAATCGATTGCTGGAAGGAAAACGTTCCCCACGAGATGCGTGTTCAGGTCGGAGTGGTGTTTTAAGTGATCTCGTCTCGCGTTAGCGAGCAAGGATTTGTACGGATCATAAGCCATCAGTGTGCGACTCAGAGGCTGGAGCAACGCCAATGCAAACCTACATACACAACACCTTCACTAAGGTTACTGTCAAAATGCAAAGCCAAAATAGACGTCACAAAAACTAATGCGAAGTAAAACAAACCGTACAGGTCATGTGGGTTGTCCACAATGAGATATTTGACCACGATCCATTATCTATTGTTTAGCCTTTAGCAAAACACAGTAAATTTGAGTAAAATGGTCAAGTCAAATGAAGTAGCTTTACTGTTTAGCCTCATTCTGACGCCTTGATGCCTCCACCCAGTAGAGTTGACGGCACCTCGCGCTCTTCGATATCGACATCTCCTCCCGCTTCTTCCTCTGCGTCGTCGTCTTCGTCGTCCAAATCGATCTCTTCTTCATTCGCCACCTCCACAATCTGCTTCTGACGTACATTCCGTTCATTTTCAGACTCCATCGTCTCTCCTTTCCGCTTCTTCGCAGCGTCGCCTTCGTCAGCTGACGGCACATCAAGTTGCGCCTCCAAAGCAGCCATGGCATCTCCAGCAGCTGCAGGCGTTGACGCTGCCACCATCCCTGCAATCTTCGACGTCTCTCCGTCCTGAGGAGCGATTTCAGACGCCACGTAGTTCACCTGGGAGTATTGAGCCACCACCGAGCGCTTGATGCGCAGCATTTCGAGGAACGTATGCTCGGAGCCGTGAGAGACCTCGAACTCATGCCACACCTTCCAGAATGCCTTTTCATGCTGACGTGGGTCACAGAATTGAGACGCGTGAGCGTAAATGGCTCGAGCGCGATCAAATTCGCCCAGTTTCGTCTCCATCTGCGCAAACTTGAGACACAGATTCGGGACACACTTATCGGGCAGCTGGGCAATACCTCGCTGATACACGTCCCGTACTTTGGCCACGCCAAAGAACTTCTGCGCCTTCTTAATGTACTTTTCGTAAATGGACAACTTGTCGTCGTCTGGAACAGCGTCGGCCGCGCGCTCATAAATTGTCATGACGTTGCGTAGCATGCCGTGCTGTTCTTCAAACTCGGCGTATTTCTCGTAGAATCCACGTGCAGATTTCGCTGGAGCAGCACGAATCGCCTGCTCGAACAGATCGCGAGTTCGCTCCATCTTGGTGCCAGCAAATCGCTTCACAAACTTCGTCAGGTACGTCTGCCACAGTTCTCCTGCATGCGGGAACTTAGGGAAGAGTGCCAGACCGCGTTCGTACACACGGAAAGACTCCTCGAAGTACTTGCTCTCTTCCAGATAGGCCGCAAAGTTAAGCACCATCTGTGGCGTGATGATTCTCAGCTCGAACACTTCGTCATAGGCAGCACGAGTGGACTCGAGATCTCCCAGACTCTCTTCGAGATCCAGACGTAAAGTCCAGAGTTTTACACTCAGGTGCACGTTGTCTTTGGCTGTCAATGACTGTCGCTTACGAAGTCGAATCGTACGTGTCGCTGGGATGGCACAAGCTCCACGTACAATCTCCAGCGCTTGGTCGAAATTCTCGTGACGAAGTTCCAATTCCGCCCACTCGCAGTACACCGCAGCGAGCTCCTGAGGGTTACGGTATTCCACATCCACAGCCTTCTTGAAGATCGCACGCGCGTTGTTCAAATCTCCATGCTCGTCGTAGAACTTGGCGAATCGGATCCAAAGCGTCGGCAAGCGGCCACCGGATTTGACAGGGTCCACTGTTTTCACGGCTTCAGCGTAGGTTCGAATGACCTTCTGCAGGTCCGCCTTGACCAGCTCAATTCGTTTCTCCCACTCACGTACGTTGTGCGGGTTCTGACGTAAAAGAACCGAGTTGAGCAGCAACGGACGTCGCTCGGCCACATCCTCGTACACCTTTAACAGCCGATCGACTTGTGCTTGATGGTCCACTTCGTCTTCTTCTTCGTCGTCCTCGTCATCGGCTCCAGCTGCGAGGTCCATCTCTGCTGTCAGCATCGCTTCGATATACTTAACGTACGCGTCGAAGATCATGCTGAAGTCGCGCACCGTCACCACCGTGCGAATACCCTCTTCATACACGTCTCGTGCCGACTCGAACATTCCCAGCCGCACAAAATACGTCGCCAGTGAGCACCAGAGTCGTCCCACCTCGTCACTAAAGCGAGTCATGCCACTTCGTAGAATCGCTTCCACATCCAGCGACTTTGCCACACGCGTTGGGTGTTGCGACACCATATCGCAGAGCTGCATCCACATACTGTGCTGTGTGCGGTCTGTGCTTGATGGCTTCTCCTGCGTCGACTCGATTAGTTGCACCAGCTGCAAGCTGGCCTCTTCGTAGTGCTCTATTGACACTAAATAGTCGACAAATTCCCCTCTCTTTGACGGTTCCAGCATCAAATATCGTTTGTACACACGCACAGCTGTGCGGGGTACGCCGATCTGCTTGACGAAGGCTAGATACGGCGTCCAGATGCGGTGGTGTTGGGTAATTGGCAGCGCTCGGAGCGCTCTGTCGAACACGTGACGACGCGCAGTCACTACGCGCATCTCATGTAGTACATTGAGGTAGTCGAGCCACAGTCTGGGCATTGTGGATAGCTGCGCCAATGCGCGTTCGTACAGAGCCACTAGTTGTGTGAACAGTGGGGAGTCAACGCGCTGTCCTCGCACTTGTGTGTCGTACACGTCGTTCAGATAGAGTTTCCAGAGCTTGTAGCTGCGCGGGAGAGATTGGAGACTACGCTCGTAGATTCGGCATCGGTCGGTGAGCGGGGCGTCGGCCAGCGCGCGCAGATATGAGGTCCATGTCTGAACGGCGAATGGCTGGCGTGTAGCCTCGTCTTCATACTCGAATAACACGCCGTCAACCTGCAGAAAGGTGTGGGAAAACGGGTTCAATGAGAGAAGGGTCTTAGTATCGATAAACACCGGAAAGGTGGAGGCTGCAGGTCGTACCATGGTCAGGTCCGAGGTAGTCGGAGGCAGCATCGCCATCATGCTGCGGGATGTCGAGTAGAGCGTAACCTGCGAGTAGCCAGGCTACGAGAGTGTGGTCCACATAAGGTACACAGTAAGAGGGAAAGGTGATCTTTGACGGGTGTTTTGTAAGGCCCAAGTTGAAGTGGGAAGGGCAGTAGCTTATCCGGATACCGGTACGCAATAAGCATCAGCTCAAACAAGAGATGAAGATGAAATGAAACTTATCGTAGTAGTTCTCCTTCGCAAAGTGTACAATTGATTTGTATCTTATGAACGGATAGGGCCACAAAAAAGAGCATTTTTATGCTTTTGATTAGGTTTAACTAAACTTTATAGGGCACAAATTAGAGCATTTTGCCATAGTAGTTGAGCCGATAGAAGAAATCCTAAAATACAATCTCGTCGACGCACCACGAATAGAGAAGACATGCTGCACAGCGAAACCCCTTTCGCGCCCTCTCCATTCCAACTTGACGGGCCCACTCGTGGTAACTTTTAGCAAAGCATCTCAGTCGTGAACGTCTCCTCTCCACAATCACAGCGCTATGTCAAATGCGACTGAAAGCTTTCGTAAACTCTACCTCAACAATGACGAGGAGAACGATCGACTACGACGTGAAGGCAAATACGCAGATAACTACGTGACGACGTCCAAGTACACAATGGTGAACTTCGTTCCGAAGATACTTTTTGAGTTTTTCCGAGTGATCGCCAATTGTTATTTTCTAGTGATAGCAATTCTTCAAGTGGCCACACCCTGGTCTCCAACAAACAAATACACAACAGGTGGGCCGTTGGTGATAGTCTTAATGGTCTCTATGATAAAACAAGCCATCGAGGACAAAAAACGTCACGATGCCGACGACATCCAGAACTCCCGACACTGCAAAGTTCTGGGGCGTAGTGGAGAGATCGTTACAAAGGAGTGGCAAGAAGTCGTAGTAGGAGATATTTTACGTCTCGGCGATCGCGATGAAGCACCTGCAGATGTGTTTATCCTCTCGACGTCCGAGGAAGAAGGTCGGTGCTTTGTTGAAACCTGCAACTTGGACGGTGAGACGAACCTGAAGCGAAGGTCCGCAATCGAACAAGTGGCACAACACGTTGGCTATAGGAAGGTCAATGACCCTGCGTTATCAGAGAGTGACCACGGCAAGCAAACGATGAAGCTGAATGCAATGATGGAGTACGAACAGCCCAATAATCGGCTGTACAACTTCACAGGCATGATCGAGTCTGGTCCTAACAAGGAGTCAGCTCCGATTGGTCCCTCCAACATCATTCTACGCGGTTGCAGTGTTCGCGGCTGTGCGTACATTTACGGGGTTGCTATCTTTACCGGCTCCGAGACCAAGTTGATGCAGAACGCACGCTCAACGCCTTCAAAGCAGAGCAATGTGTACAAGGTCGTGAACCGCTGCATCCTGTTGATTTTCATCACTCAATTCGTGCTCTGTATCATCAGTACGATTTGCAACACGATCTGGATGGACAAGTACCAGGCGAAGCTCTGGTATTTCGGCTCCGCTTTTGCACAGACGTCGTCTGCTTCGAACTTGGTGAGCTTCTTCACGTTTCTCATTTTGTATAACAACCTGGTGCCGATCTCGCTGTACGTGTCGCTGGATATGGTGAAGGTGTTTCAAGCGAAAAACATCGCCTCGGATCCCGAAATGTGCCATGAAGGGACGTACGCGAACGCACGGACATCGGATTTGAACGAGGAACTCGGACAGGTGCATCACATTTTCAGTGACAAAACGGGAACTCTGACGTGCAACATCATGGAATTTCGGAAATGTTTCATAGCTGGTGTGTCGTATGGTTTCGGTACTACCGAGATCGGTCGAGCTGTCGCCGAGATGGCAAAGAAGAATGCGGAAGCGAAGGGATTATCCATCGACGCGAGTGATAAAGAAGACGAGAAACACCATGACCCAAAAGACGCTCAGGTTGACTTTAATCCTCTTATTCACTTCGATGACCCACGCTTAGTCAATGCTCTAGCCGCCAATACTCCGGAGGCTAAAGCTATTGATGAGTTTCTCACCGTGTTGTCCGTATGCCACACGGTGATCCCAGAGAAGAACGGGAAAACTGGAGAGGTTGAGTACCGTGCTTCCTCTCCAGACGAAGAAGCTCTTGTAAAAGCTGCCAAGTGTTTAGGATACAATTTTTACGCTCCAGCGCCGCTTCTTGAAGTCAAAGTGACGAAGAAAAATGAATCGTCCACTGTGCGGAAGTACTCAATTCTCAATGTGAACGAGTTCAACAGCACTAGGAAGCGAATGTCGGTCACTATACGTACCGAAGATGGACGATACTTTCTCTACTGCAAGGGAGCGGACAACGTCATGATGCCTCGCAGTAAAGTTGACCAGTTTTCTGCCAAAATGGATGAGGAATTGAAGCGATTTGCTAGCGAAGGGCTTCGAACTTTGGTGATCTGCAGTAAGGAGCTAACGGAGGAGGAATATGTGGCTTGGGATGTTAAATATCAGGAAGCTGTGACGTCTCTGACAAACCGAGATGAACGATTAGAAGAAGTAGCCGAGTTGATCGAAACCGAAATGAAAATGGTGGGCGCCACAGCAATCGAAGATAAATTGCAGACTGGCGTTCCCGCAGCCATCGCGAATCTCGCCCAGGCAGGGATAAAGATCTGGATGCTTACGGGTGACAAGGAGGAAACTGCGATTAACATCGGCCATGCCTGTCAGCTGATCAATGAGGGAATGCAATTGCTTGTCATCAACAGCGAAGATCTCGATGACTTGGGCAGACAAGTTGACAAAATCTACAAACTCGAAGCTGTGCAGTCACATTTGAGCGCCAAGACGGTTTCCAGTACTCTCGCTCTCGTGTGTGACGGCAAGGCGATGGTACACGTCTTCCCACCGAAGAACACGTCGTCAGAGCGAGCACTGCATGCTGCAAAAGTTCTCTCACAAATGCTTTTAGATATTTCGAGTGTTTGCCACGCAGTGATTGCGTGTCGAGTCTCCCCTGCTCAAAAAGCAGACATTGTGAACCTCGTTCGGTACAACTCACCGCAAAACCCGATCACATTAGCCATCGGAGACGGAGCAAATGATGTGAATATGATTCAATCCGCTCATATTGGCATTGGAGTGTCAGGCCAAGAAGGAGTCCAAGCAGTCAATGCCAGTGACTATGCTATCGCCCAGTTCCGATTTCTCGAACGGCTTCTTCTTGTCCACGGTCGCTACAACTACCAGCGGATCTCCAAGGTCATTCTCTACTCGTTCTACAAGAACGTCGCTCTTGTCATTGCTCTGTTCCTTTTCAACTTCTACAATGGACAGTCAGGTACGAGCGTGTTCGAGAGTTTTGTCATGGCTGGCTGGAATTTCTTCCTGGCGTTGCCAATCATTGCGATCGGCGTTTTTGATGAGGATGTCGCGCCCGAACAAGTTCTTCGTAACCCGACACTGTATGTCCCTGGCCAGAGAAACGACGGGATCAACATGAAGCGGTTCTCAATCTGGCTTATCAATGCCATGATCCAAGCATTTATCTGCTTCATGCTGGCAATGTACGGCACAATCAACGTCGATGGCTTGAGTGTAGGTCTCTATCTACAGGGCAGTGTCATCTACTCAGTGCTACTGATGTCTGCGAACGTGAAAGTTGTACTGGAGACCCTATCGTGGACAAAGGTCAACCGAATGGTGCTGGCGTTTAGTCTATGGCTCTTCTTCTTCTTCCTGCTCGTGTTCCCTTTCATGGGCGCTCTTGGACTCGATCTTTACGGTGTATCGTTACGGCTGCTATCAAGGTTCGTATCGCCTAAAGCTGTGTTAAATATGCTGTAAAACTCTAACGTTGTTTCTCCAGCCCCGTGTATTGGCTGTATTTGCTGTTAGTGCCGCTCACGGCCAATCTCCTCGACATCAGTCTCAAATAGTACGCTCTAATGACTGCAGTATTCATTTCTGCCATGCCACTTATCCTCTTTCCCTTGCTTTTCCGTCTAGCATCCGGACAATTTACTCCCCTACACTGGCGAATGTGCTGCGGGAGAAAAGCGTATTGTCGCCAAACTCGGCTCAAGTGGCGTGCGATCCTCTTGGAGGACAAAAGTCTACCCATGCGTCAACCCCATTTTTCAAGATATGTAAGAAAGAGAACGCTTACAAGGTTGCCTGCTGCTCGGAGTCTGGCGACTGAGTTTTTTTTCAGTGCCAGTGACCGACAAGGCACCAGTACCAAGAAATCCAAATTATTTACACACGTCTGTGTTATTGTCCACCTTTGCTTTTCAATGTAGGCAAAGACAACGGCTCGATTGAGACGGATCACAGCGACTCCAAGGATGACCGCGAAATGGCACATCACAAGGATTTTCACCGCGAAGCTGTAACATCCTTTACGAAACAGAAACCTGCATCCTTTAGTACTGCGGGGACGAGTCTACTACGAGCAGCACAACCCTCCATCTTGGCAACTCTCACGGAACGTGAGCTCCATAAAATGTAAACTTTTGCTCTGGTGTCAGGCACAACCAAGTGCAAATAGCGAAAAACTTGCTCTAACATCCATAGCCCGGGTACATGTATGCCTAGGATTTCATCGAACTCACTAAGATTTCTCGACACAAACGTCGACAGTAAAAACAGGCGTAACATGATGGACAAAAAGTCTAAGTTGACCTTGAAAATCCTTTAAATACTTAAATAAAACAGATACTTTTAGACACTTAAAAAATAGTTCCTGTAAATTCGTGGGACAGAGAAGTATTTGTTTTTAGGAAAAATCTCAAAAGTGACTCGATTAAAAAAAGCTTCAAAAACGTGAGCTGAGCGTGTGACGCGCTACTGTCACGCATCGTTGCCACTGCGTCCTCCGCAGTGGCCAATCAGCACGTAGATCCTGATTACTGGTTGGCGTGGGTTTTACGAGACATACTTATCCCCTAGGTGTACCACCGGTGGTATTACCGAATCACCTTAGTTATGCATTACACCCAATCTGCAGTGCAGAGACCAGAAATTGCGTGTCCCGGCTATCGGTATCTTCGAACAAACAGTCTATATAAATTTGAGCAAGTTCCGGAGTCGTTACTACAACTTTACCACAATTACACGAAAGGTGGTTTAGGGCAACGCAGCAGCTTGCTGTGTTGTTCGGTAATTTATCGAGTTTATCTTCCCGTGAATTTGAAACCAAACAATTAGACTAAAAATTTGCAAAATCTTGTGGTCGACAAAGTACGACATTTCCAGGAACGGGAGAAACCTACAGCGGTGATATGGCGAAGAAGGACGAGAAGATGCGAGCGCCCAGTACGGGGGCTGCGAAACAAGAGGGTGTGGCGCACGTCCAGTTGGTCGCAAACACAGGTATGACGCTTATAAGGTACGCTGTGATGGATATAAACTGATTTGATGTGTGTAGGACGTCGCTCCACCTTGCGCCCGCGTTATTACGTTGGTCTGACACGCGGCCACACGAAGGATGCCCCCGCCCCGAGGAACGCCGCGAAGAGCGCCACGCAGGACGCCACGCAGGAAGAGGATGTCCCCGCCACGCAGGACGCCCCGAAGAACGCCACGCAGGAAGAGGATGTCCCCGCCACGCAGGACGCCACGAAAACCGCCACGCAGGACGAGGATGTTCCCGCCCCGAAGAACGCCCCGAAGAACGCCACGCAGGACGCCGCGCAGGACGAGGATGTTCCCGCCCCGAAGAACGCCCCGAAGAGCGCCACGCAGGACGAGGATGTTCCCCGCCCCGAAGAACGCCCCGAAGAGCGCCACGCAGGACGAGGATGTCCCCGCCACACAGGATACCACGGCTGAGGCTACCACATATGAAAAAGAGGTGAAACACTCACAGAACGCTACTGCTAAGGTGGCAGCTGACTCGCCGGCCGCTATCGCTGAGAGCAACATGGAGGGCAACATGGATGGCAACACTGAAGGCGACATGGAGAGCAACATTGAGGGCAACACTAAGGGCAACATGGAGAGCAACGTTGAGGGCAACGCTAAGGGTAACGCCGCCGCAGCCACCCTAGCGGACTCCAACGATACGGAAAACAAAGTATCAGATTCAGGTACGAGTCGTCTACAATGTTATTTACACTTTCTAATTTAGGATTATCGACTGCAGATGACCGAGATCCTGAGCCTCCAACAAAGCGGGTAAGAGTATCCACTGAAGGGTCGGCTAGTCGACCACATTATCTCTGGCGTCGCCAAACCAAAAACGCGGATAACCGCAAGAAGATTGTGAAAACGCTAAACCCAGTCATCAACGACAAGCCAGGGCTACCGCAAAAGGTCTTCAGCACGTGGGAGGAGTATCAGAAAGTGCTCAAACATTACGAAGTCGAGCACTTCCTTTGCTATCGAACTCGGAGCTCTGAGACAAGAGAGAAGCACAACAGGTCAAAGGCACGATACCGATATTGACGTTTATGTTGCTGTCTCACTATGTCGTTTGCTGCTATGTTGCTTTGAGTGTTGCTTAGGCTTCCTGGTGCTAAGAAGATACCTGATTATTTGACCCACAGCTTCAAACGAGTTTGGTGTATACATGCTGCAACTCAGGCCCCCCGAGGGCGTGGGCGCCGTGAGCACGACTGCCGCTTTACAGGATGTGAAGCGAGCTTCGTTGTGCGTTCCGTCTACTCAGTTGAGGCCGGTAAACCCTCGTGGAAAGCGTGTATTGATGAAGACACAGAGGTGCGTAAGATGCTGTTTTTACGCATATTTGTAGTTCTAACTGTTTTAATTTTTAGATATCGATGCACAACCACCCCACTACGAAGGTGATCTACGATACGTATCGTAGTGCGAAGTCACTCTTGTCGCGCAAAGTTCGACAAGAACTCGGTCTACTCAACGAGGTGAAGCCCAGTACTGCTGCTGTCAACCGGTATCTGGCGGACAAGCTAGGTGGGTGCTTCTCGTAATGGAGGGTGACCGCAGTAAACCTTAAGAATCGCTGTACATTCAAAGTTTTAATCAAGCTTAACAACATTTTGTTTACGTGCAGATATTACTATTACACCTCAGCAAACACGTAATATGCTACGGGTGCTATTGGGATCATCAGCGTTGGAACAAACCAAGTCTCTTTTGGGTGCTTTTGTCGCGGAAGAAGGAAATGATGTTCTTCTGGTGCAAGACCAAATGGATATAACCTGTGTCATTGCATTGCAAACCTCCATTCAGAAGGAGTGTTTTCGTCAGTGGGGTGACACACTGGTGATGGACTGGACGCACGGGACTAATAACCTCGGATATCATTCGGGTAAGTTGCATCGTATTTAATTGTCAGATCATACACATACTAACTTGTTTGCTTTTTTAGGAAGTCTTGTGGTCACGTCGGCAACAGGACGGGCCATACCTGTAATCGACTTTCTTGCGCTAGACCAAAAAGCACAAACAATGGACCGTATCGTTGAATTCTTCAAAATGAAGAACCCGTCCTGGAATTTAATCCAGACTATCGTTATCGACAAAGATTTCGTGGAGTGGCGGGTCCTGGAAAGAGCATTTCCCGGCACCAAGGTTATTCTGTGCCAATTCCACGCGCTCACGTACTGGAGAAAAGTGCTTCGTCGTCCCAAGTTTGACCTGACAATGTCACAGCGCCACAGGATGGAGGACGCGTTTGCAAAGCTAATCTACTGGTACGATTCTGTGTGTTGCTTCATGTGTTGATTATGAAATGTTGCCTAATATGTTGCTTTGTTGTGCTGCTAAATATGTTGTGCGAAATGTAGCAACACGCAGATAGCGTTCAATTCAGAGTTGGCAGCATTCACAAGAACGTGCGAGGAGAAGTGCCCTAAGCTACTTGCTTATTTTTTTGCGGAATTGGAAAACGTGCGATTCGATGTGGGCAAATTATCTCCGTGGGGCGTACTTTTCTGCAGGCAATACCACCACCAATCGAATTGAGTCCAACTGGAATCAGGTGAAGCTGCTCCTCGGTAAAAGGCCCCGTATTGATGCGACGATTGGAGGGCTTCTAGCTCACCAAACGACAGTTATTCGACAGCTACTTGCTTCAATTCGCAAGCACTCCGTGACCTCGCGGCAACCTGACTCTGTCACAGACTTCCTTTTAGTTGTGGCAAAGCACCTGAGCGATGCTTCGTTTACAAAAATGCGCACTCAGTGGGAGCACTTCATGGTATATCTGGCGGAAGCTACGTGCAAGAAAGAAAACATGGAAGTGGGAGAGTGGATGTTGTCTACGCAGGGGCGCACATATCGCTGCAATGACTATCAGTGGACGTGTACATGCCTATTCTATCGAAGTAATCACCTCCCGTGTCAACACTTGGTGTACATTGCTGACCACGTTCACCGGTTCGAGTATCTCCCGGCATTGACGATTTCTCCACGCTGGGACATGCTGGAAATGGCGGCAATGGAAAAGGCGTTTCAAGCGGGTATCTATTCCCTCCAGGACGTTCAAATTTCGATGAAAGTAGACAGCGATGCCTTCGACGCGGTCCAGCCGCAGGATTCTGCATCAACTTTATCAGCAACACAACCGAGTAGTGCAACACAGGACGCTACACAACCGAGTGGTGCAACACACGAAGCAACACACGAAGCAACACAAGTGAAAGGAGAGCTAGAAGATACCAAAACGACAAGACTGCGCGTTAAATCGAAACGCCGAATCATCTACGTGAAGTTGCGTCGCCGCGAGCGAGCAAATGTTGTTGTTATGTCAACCGAGGAGAAGTACTGCTATGCAAAAGCAGTATTCGAGCCCGTGATGGAGCGTCTCTCAGGTCTGTCGAGTCCTGCTTTCTGCACAGCAATGCATGCCTGGAAGGAACTGGTTCAACGTGAGCTACGTGAAGGTGTTGGAGCTGGATCGGTATCAGATACAACGACTTTGCCGGAAGAGGACGACGAAACCGACAATTCCTATTTATCAGATGCCGCATCGGAAATTGAGCCCACAGAACTTATTGATACTATGGATTTTATCCGGCAGATGAAATCGCCAAATTCACCTCAGACGGGGGATGGAGCCATACACAAATTTACGATGAGAAAAGGACCAGCACCGAGTGCAACACAAACATTGAAGGTCCAAGTAGCGTTACCGTCGGCCGACCACCAAACCGATACGCGTCTCGAAGCTCACAATGAGCCGCATGCACTTAGGAAGTGCAGTGAAGCGAAAGCCACCGCTAACTGCGGACTCGAAGCTCTTCGTATCCCTCAACCCAAGCCTCGACACAATAAGAGGAAGAAGCTGACACAGCGCAAATTAGTAAAGCACGAAAGGCCCCAGAAACTGGCTGCTATTGCGCTTCCGGACAAAAACATACCGTCACTTTCGCGACTATTGGAATGGGCGAACCACACGACTGACCCGTATCACGTGAGCGAGATACTCGGAAACTACCCTGTGATCATGGATGACGATTTCATGAGCGCCCGAACTCCTCGCAGCTGTCGTGAATTAGTTTGTACGGCTGACTAGGACTACAATTTTGTGATTCCTCAGAGCCTTGTCATTAAATTGAACGCTGTGGTTGCTGTCGAAAAGAAGAAACGTCAAGGATCAAAGTACTTCAATGAGCATCAAGTTGTCGAACATCCGGAGGGGTCCACGAACGAAGTCTTAG